CTTTGAGCTACATTTAACTCATTTACTCTTTATAAAGCAAGTTTCAAATCTAACAACGTAAGTAATGAATGCTATAACTTATTTTTCAAGATCTTTGTTAATTCAATATTTCAGTATATTATAACCCATAATGCAATCTAATTTTTGGTCAAATAATGGTGGTTTTAAGTGTTGCCATTCTCGAAATATCGAGGATCAAAGTTTTCTAATAAATGGTCAAAATTAAGAGAACTATCAATACAATGAAAAAATTCATCGATGCACAATGTGTAGCAGCAATTTTCATCGACAAATATTAAGTTTCTTCTCCCTAACTCTTATGGTCACAGAATGAGGTCGGTTCAACTAAAAAATCGAACTTGATCTATTTTACAGAAACAGAAATATATTTTCTCAAAATAAGATCATTTTCAGGTAGTTTATCAAAATGCTAATTAATTAAGCGAAGTTTCATTTTAAAAGCTGCTTCCAAAGCCAAACAAAAGGCGATCGAAGTTTTAAATTTGACCTCCATTATCCAGAAAACTGTCCATCTTATGAATTATTTATTAGCACCAATGGACTGAGATTTTATGTCCCTACAAATGCACCAAGTCTCAAATCTTTACTTAAATTTTCGAGCTTTTGGCAATACTTTTTGCATTTCACTTGTTAGTTTAACCAGAAAAGTGGTTTATTTATCAAGTTATGTGTTTATTTAAGTTTGGTTTGTTGAATAAGTTGTTGCTTGTGCATTTTAAACCAAAATAATAATCTTAATCCAAATGAACTAATCGAAAGTATTTAAATTGCATAGGAAATGATTAAATTAGTGAAAGAATGAGGACTGTAGGTACAACCATACTCGAAATATCGAAGCTAAAAGTTTTTAGGTAAATGGCCGAAATAAAGAGAACAGTTAATAAATTGAAAAAAGTATTTGATGCACGATGAGTACCAATAACTTTCATCGACAAATATCAAGTTCTAGCTCTCCAACTCTTATGGCCACAGAATGCGGTCGGTTCAACTAAAAATCAAACTTATCTGTTTTACAGAAAACTCAGAATGTTATTTCTCGAAATAACAACATTTTCTAATTCTTCATCAAAAGTTGCACTACCAAAATAAGCTTCATTGCAAAAGCTACTTTCATTGTTGAACAAAAGGGGGTCGAAGTTTAAACTTTAACCTCGATTTTCTCGAAAACTTTTCATCGGAGAACTTTTTAAATTACACAAATGGATTCAGTTTTCATGACCTTATATGATAACAGTGTCTTAATTCGAAGGAAATTAATTTCTACTCGTTTTTTCCATTTGGTAAATTTCTTGCATAAATATGATACTGTCAAAACCTATTGTTTGAAATGGAAAAACCAGATTTTGTAATGGACAGTGAAATGAATGAAATGAAGTTTTCACTAATCCTCTTAAAGATTAGGTTTGGTCAAAAGGGTGAAATGCTTGGTGTATTCCAAACTCACTAATAAATCCTAATCCGTTTGTCTAAGTTTGGGGGTTTTAGACTTAAGCTAGCTTTCAGTTGAAATTTAAAAGTAGATTCAAAATATTTGAAATTGTCAATTTCTAGTTTCATTCTTGTAGTAAATAACAATGGAGTTCCTTAAATCACAGCGTGGTAAATCAAATTTGATTTACAATCATTTCTTATATAATCTAAGTAATAGTGATAACCAAAGGTGTTATTGGAGATGTAGCCAGTCCAAGTGTAATGTGACAATGATTACTGAGGACCAAACAATATGTAAACAACCAAATATTCATCAACATTCTAACCATGATAAAAAAGTAGAAAAGCTAAAAGCTCGACTTGAAATGATTGACGCTATTGAAAAATCTCCCAATTTATCTATTAAACAACATTTCAACTTGGTGAGTAATTGTTGTATTAATTAAATTCAATTCATATTGACATTCGTTCATTTTTTCAATATTAGGTTAGAACAAAACGAACTTTAGATTTAGTTGAAAAAGATGAAGACATTAATTTAGCCCCTCGATTCAACAGTATGAAATCATCATTATATTCTTATCGTAACTCGCTTTATCCACAAATTCAACCAAATAATATTGCCTTGCCAACTCTATACCAGCAAACATTAGACAAACAAAATTTTTTGATTTACAATGATAGTAATATAATAATTTTTAGTTCACCTACATTTCTTACTTGGTTAGCTAAGACAGACAGAATTTATGTTGATGGCACTTTTGCATCAGTTCCTCGTGAATTCAAGCAATTGTTTACTATTCATATCTTAATACAAAATGATATGTTTCCTGCTGTATATGTATTATTGCAAGATAAAAAAATGGAAACATATTTTAGATTAATTGGTATTTTGACTTCGATAATGAGAAACACAGGATTCATATTTAAACCAATTCATTTACATTGTGATTTTGAAGCTGCTATTATCAAAGCATTTACTACTTTTTTCCCTGAAATTAACATCCATGGATGTTATTTTCATTTCTCTCAATGTTTGTATCGAAAGGTTCAAAATTTAGGGTTGAAAAAATTATACGAAGAAAATAATGAATTTAAATCCTTATTCAAGAGATGTATTGCTTTGCCCTTGATTTCACCATTAGATTTAGATGTTGCTTGGTATCTTATTAATGAATTGAATTTAATTGAAGATGAGCGAGTAGATAAGTTTATTTATTATATTCAGGCTACTTGGTTGGATACGAATTCATTATTTCATCGAGAATCATGGAACCATTATGGCAACTTTGGTACCAGGACGACCAATCATCTTGAAGGGTTCCACAGTAAATTGAATAAGAGCTTCAACTATGGACGACCCAAACTACTTCAACTAATTGATCAATTGAGAAACATTGAATTTGAACAAAGAATTGACTTATCCCATGTGTTAGATGGTCAAAAAATTCGTCAGAAAAACAGAAAATATATTGAAATTAATGAAAATTATAAGAAATATTTCAGACTTTATAACGATAATTCAATTGATTTGCTGAAATATATCGATTCAGTTTCACGATTAATGTGATTGTCAAGATGAACAATAAATGAACAAACCCTTAAGGTGTATTTTGACTAAAACTCTAGCTTAAAGAGCAAGTTAAAGATTAACATTTGGATTTATTAGTGAGTTTGGACTAAACCGAAATGCTTTGGGCAGAATAGGGCAATGCTCAGTCAAAATGAGAAAATGAAGGTTCAAATGAGTGAAATGTGGAGGTTTATTATAAAAACAAAAAGGTTCATAAGAAGTTGAAATCAGTCGTTTTTCTGTATTCTGTGGACACAAGTTTACCTTCGTTTTTGCAATGGTGAAAATTAGTTCAGACTTGAAAAAATTGGTTGTTGATTCCCATAGAAAGGGAAAAAGTGCTGTCGAAATTGCTAAGATGTTCGACATCAATGTGTTGTGTATTTATTAGTAACAACCTAAATACGCCATCCTCCGATGAGTTTAATTTCAGACTGGTGAATCAAATTATGTTTGAATGAAAATATCTTCATTTCATTACAAATATTACTCATTTATCTTTTCTGCGTTTGAACTAAATATTTTTGTGATTACTCAACGTATTTTATCTCGACTGCAATTGTAAATCTAGGAATTCTCAATGAAATATAACCAACTAAAAAGGAGTTAATCCCGATTACCTGTGTTAGATATCAATATCATTGTAAAACCCAAAAAGATAACTGGGAATAAACCGTTCTAATGGGCAAATGTTTAAAATTGAAACTACAAATGTATGTCACATTAGAGTTTGAATCATGGTTTCACTCAATTTCAATGTCAATACAGTAAAAGTGAATAGATTGGGCTCTTTGGGATTGGGAAAATAGCTTTGGATCGACACAGTTTATTTGAATTAAAATTTCTGGTTTAGATTAAAAACAATGATGATAATTAGACTCGAAAAGATTACAATTAGAGGCTCAGATCGAGTGAATTGAAACTTGTGAGATTTCAGGGTTCAGGTTGAACAATAATCCTAAACTGCAGCTAACAAGTGAATTTATCTAATTTTCCTGTTCGACAAAGTATGAAACCCACACATTAATCGTAACCTGAAAATCAGTAACTAATCAGGTGGACATTGTTGATACAAATCAGATTTACAAGTGTAATTGCACTCCATTTGTTATCTATTTGTTTCATTTTAAATGTATCGCGTACATCCATATTGAAGTATTGATAGGCAGTACTAATCAATGAAAAATCATCTATATTTTTATTGTTCCTTGTAAAATGATTCCATTACCAAGCCTGAAACAATAATCAATAATCGTTTATTTGATTCAACCAATTTCACTTTCCCTCAAAATAATCGTAATTTATCGACTGTAAAAACTGGACAACTGCTAAATTTGTAATTACAAGATTCATCTTGGACTGTGGCGTAGTATACATTGAGTCTTGCACATGTTTCAATTGGTTACCCTAACATAACTTTTTAATTGTACCAAAATAGATTGAACAATTTTTCTCAGAAGGAAGTAAAAACTGTTTAATTGCAGTTCAGCATTGATTACAGTTGGTTAAAGTTTAAATTAGATCAAAAATGACGATAAATATGTCCCAATCAAAGGCAACACCAATAGCAGTAACTGGCTTAGCTGGACGATTCCCTCAATCGGATAATGTTGAAGAGCTGTGGGATCATCTGTTGAATGGTCGAGTCCTTTATCAGTCAGACGATTTTCCTTATCCGAAAAGTAAGTTGATCTAATTATAGTTATATTTAAATATTAATACGTTTAATTGCATTGACTTATGCATTTTATCAACACATTTTACTAGTTTTCAATAAGACGCCAAAATCAAGAGGAGCTCTAAAAGACACATCTCACTTTGATAGTGACTTTTTTGGCTATGACCGTAAATCTGCTAATTTTCTTGACCCACAATTACGTATTTTATTGGAGGTTGTTTATGAAGCTCTTTGGGATGCAGGTAAGTTAATTATTATACATAATTTAATCAAATTGTCCTTGCTTTAAGATTTCCATTAATATTGAAAATATTATATATTGATAATTGTCTTATTGTCTTTACATTACTATACGCAACAGTTTGTTTACTTTCTTTTGTTACCGAGAAGTCAACGGTTTTCTTGCTTTTGTGTTACTCATATGACTAGTGAATATTTTCATTATTATTTGAGCTGATTTAATCAATAATATGTTACAATTAGCATGTGAAGGTAATAATGTATTGCAAGGTTAAATATTGTGTAAGTAATTACGTTATAAATAGTTGCAAGTCGCAAAGTAATGTAATGTAGACCATAAAGTGATTAATGAATTATTTTATCACGTTGACTCTTTTTCACATCAAAGTACAATTTCAATATGGATTTGATAATGCTTTCAATGATGTAATTAGTGTTTATAATTATTAATCATATTGTAATTTTTTAGGTATTCCACCGGAGACTTGGTATGGCTCTAGAACCGGCTTCTATTTGGGGTCATCCTTTGAAGAAACCGGGCTAACTGTTCGCTCCCCGGACCAATCTGTTGAGCTTATTCAACATTTCCCATCTCGAGTTTCATATCATTTCAATTGGAAAGGACCAAGTATGATTATTGATACTGCCTGTGCATCAAGTTTAAACGCATTGACTGAAGCGTACAGTGGACTCATTAATGGAACCTGTGATCAAGCAATTGTGGCTGGAATTTGTTTGCATTTAAAGCCCAATGTGACAATTTGCTTTAGTGAACTAGAAATGTTGTCCAAATCGGGAAAATCTCGATGTCTTGACACCTCAGCTGATGGTTATATACGATCTGAGGCAATTGTAGCCATTGTATTACAACGTGAGAATCTATCTAATCGAGTTTATGGTAAAGTAATTGGATTTGCTGCAAGCTCAGATGGTTACACCAAAGAGGGAATTACTTATCCATCTCGAGAAGTTCAAATAAATACAATGAAATTGGCTTTGAATCGTAGCTCAATCAATCCAATGTCTGTTGAATACGTTGAAGGCCATGTAACAGGTACATCAGTTGGTGATCCTATTGAAACAGCGGCCATTGTGAAAGCCTATAGATCAACAAACACAGAGTCACCGTTAATCATTGGTTGTCTAAAGGGTAACATTGGACATACCGAGGCATCAGCAGGTGTTTGCGCATTAATAAAGGCCCTCAAAATATTCCAAAACAGTTTAATTCCAATGAATGTGGGAATGGAAGTAGTTAATCCAAGGATCGAATCACTTCGTGATGGACAATTGATAACACCAAGGACTAATTTGCCCTGGAATGGTAACATTATTGGTGTTAATGCTTTTGGTTTTGGAGGTTCAAATACACATTGTTTAATTACTGCATCAGACAAAAGGCATCCAGTTGACAATCAAGTACCTAAAAATTCCAGAAGATTGATTTGTTTTTGTAATCGAACTGAGAAAGGACTTAGAAAAATGTCGCATTCTATACAAAATCAATGCAGATCAAATGAATATTTAGCTTTGATTGATAAAATCGCTATTGGGACAACAATTGAAAGTGGAATGTATTGGCGTGGTTTCTCGATCCTTAGATTTGACTCTAATACTGATAAAACTACTCTGACTGACCTTACAACTAACTACTCAACCCATCGTTTACCGATAGTCATGTTTTTCGACCAAGTGACTTCTGATTTGCCCGACTTAAATTCTGATTATGATCCAGTAAATGTCTTTTTGGATCGTAAAGTCGAAACCTGTTATGATTATTTAAAGAAACAAGGATACCAAAGGAAATACATCGAGGAAAATTCATCAATCGTTTTAGTTATTCATCAATTGGCTTGGGCTGATCTACTTGTTAATGATTTGAAAATTCAACCCGATTTAGTTGCTGGTTATTCATTGGGTTCGATTGCTGCTTCCTTTGCTGCCAAACAATCTACTTGGAATAATTGTCTATCGAAATTGGCTGATAATATTAGACTTCAAGCAAAGCCCTCTAAAAGCAATCACACATTTAGAAATAAATTTGAATCCGAATTGAGCAAAATGAGATTTAATGATCTAGTCAATTGCTATAAGAATATGGCTGATTCAGATGTCTACATTTATCTTGACAGAACAATTGACCAAGTTGAAACCAGTGAATTGGTTTTTTTAAATATTTCATCTTCCATAACACATAATCAAATCTCTTTAGATTCAAAGGCAGAAAATATAATAGCTAATTACAATGTTTATAGTGATATCTTGGTCATTTTAGGCGAAATTTATGCTTCTGGAACCAATCTTAATCTAAGTATCTTCAACAATCAACAATTTCCAGTTAGTTCCAGTTGTCCCAGTCTTGGTCATCTAATTGAATGGGATCATAAGCAAACATTTGATACTATTGTTTATCCTGATTTTTTTCGCGACTCATTTCACACAGTCCATCGAGTTGACTTAATGGACCCAGAATTTTCAGATTTAGCCGGTTATTCAATTGAAAATGAACTCATTTGTCCCATATCATGTTACATTTGGATCATTTGGGATCACTTGGTTAAATTACGTTGTACTGATCAACGTCATCGGTACAATTCGTTTGAACTACGCTCGTTGAAAGTGATAAAATTGGTTAACTTGAGTGAACCAGTCGAGTTTAGAGTCACATCTAATCCTGACACTGGAGAGTTTGCAATTAAATATGCTGCCGATTATTGTCCAATTGTAACTGGATTTGCCAAAATTATTGATAAAAATACATTCGACTATTCATCTTATCTCACAACCAACACTGAAAACTCCACTGATGAACCAATTATTTTAACGTCTGAAGAGGTTTATGCCGATCTGCTTATTAGAGGCCTGAGCTCGGATGAATCCTTCAAAAGTATTACCTCTTTCAACTCAAGCCAATCTCAAGCAACAATCAAATTTGATGGCCATTGGATAACCTTTTTTGAATCAATATTAATTTCGCCACTTATTCTAGATTCATATGATTCAATAATGGCTCGCCCAGTTCAACTGGATTGGTTCAGATGTGATCCATTGATTCTTAATGAAAGCTTAAAAAATCTCAAAAGATCTGGTTCAGAAATAAATGCGTTTACTTTCCAACTAGATGTTGATGCACAGATAATTGCGACTAAAGGTTTAATTACTACATTTCCTAATTACCAACAAGTTCCTAACACTACGGGCCACCCTGAACTTCATTATCGACATCAAGTTTTTCTACCTCTTAACTGTCAATTACATTCACAGTCAGAGTTGAATAACAATCAGCTAAGTTTAGTTGAAAGGATTGATTATCTTTTAAGTCTGGTGGAATCAAAAAATAAGAAAAAGCAGATTGACTATTCGCCATATGATAAAGATTCAACTTTACTTAAAACAATTTCTTCAATAATTAACTCTGGAAATACAGCGATCAATCCAGAGACGATTTCCAATATTGATTGTGCATTTGAAAGAGAAATGACTTCAAAGAATTGTGGTGATTTGTTGCATATTCATTTAGGATTGTTTGAAGAAAATAGTCCATCCACCGGAATGATAAACATTTACCAAGTTGGAAGGGTTAATGCTTACTCTTACGATTCCAATTGTGATCTTACCTTCAGAAAGATTCGTAGTAATTACACATTCGAGTTACAGCAGACAGTCAAACCTGATTCACTTTCTTCAGCTGATTTAGTTATTTACAATCATTCATCGCTTGGTTTATCTATAAATGAAGTCAACATTGATGACGAATGTGCATTTCTATCAAATTTCAATTCTCTTTCTGTATCAAGTTTCCTATTAATTTTAATGAGGGAAGAAAAGTACTCATTTGAAGATGCCTTATGCAAATTGGTTTCTGGTGTTAAGTCAAAAAATCAAATTTCAAGCAAGCGTTTGGTGGATCATTTGCTTCAAAACGATTTTATTGTTATTTCCGAGCACACAACTAACAATGGATGTCCAATCAAATCAATAATATTGAGAAAAGTCCAGCCAAATAGCTTATCCACCACCGAAACAAAAATCCTTTACATTTCTGAGCGAACATTTGATTGGGTTGACAAATTGAAAAGTCTAGTAGATGATTCTGATGATAAAATATGGTTAATATCTAATGGTTGTTACCGAACGGGTTTGGTTGGACTTGCTTCGTCTCTAAAAGAAGAATCATTTGGTCATAGAATCAGAGCAATTCTTGCTGTTGACTTCGATCATGCAAGAGATGCACAAATTTTCAACGAACTGAGAAACAAGGATTTGATAATAAATGTTAGACGATTAGCAAATGGTCCATGGGGAACTTACAGACACATCGAGTTGAATCCTCATGATCAAGTAATTGTCCGTGACGATTCAGCATATTTGACTTGGACAAGTGAAAAAAATATCAATTCATTAGCATCAACAGAAGCACCAGTTTTATCATGGTACCGTTCACCTCCAACTAATGATGATATCCATGTTTTAGTTCATTATTCAACATTTAATTATCTGGACAAGTTGATTGGGAAAAGCAGAGATTCAACATTAATTCCCAAAAGTCAAAGAGTAGGCTGGGAATTTTCTGGTTATTCATTGAAGACTCAAAAAAGGGTTATGGGTAAGCTTAAATAACCTTTGATCAGCCATTTTGTTCACTTCAACCTCTAATATGACCGGTTGATTAAAGAATACTATTCTGTTGATTTGAAATTAATAGCTACTAATTTGATTGAGAATATTTGAAATAATAATTTATTCGTTTCATTCTAGGTGTTTGCGAAGGGAATGGAGCCACTGGTGCTTTAACTAGTGATTCAATAATTTTTCAATTTGATGTTCCTGATAATTGGCCCCTAGAATCAGCTGTTACCACGCCAATCCCTTATTTATTGGCTTATTATTGTCTTAATGTTTTGTCTTCAATCAAACCATCATTTAAAGTCTTCATTAATGGAACTTCGGATGGAATCGAAATTGCAATTATCTCACTTTGTCTATCCATTAATTGCCAAGTATTTATTCAATTAAACTCGCCTTCTGATGAGAAAACGTTTCGTGAATTGTTTCCTTCTTTAAGAGACGAGAACTTTATTCATGCCAACCAATATGACCTGGACAATCATTTATTACAATTAACCCCAGGAACTGGGGTCGATATTGCAATCAACACAGGATCAAGTAAAATACTCCAGTTTCTTCCAAATTGCTGTTCTTTTGGTGGAAAAATTATCCAGATTGGATCAATTGACGAAAGTTATGCTCTTCAAATAAGTAAGTGTGAAAACTAAACTATTGAAAATATATTGCTGAAAATCGCAGTAAATTAATGGGTTTTGATGGTAAAGTTTCAAAATTGTAACTATTTTGAATCTTCTATCACAAGAATTTCCAATTAGAGGATAATTTGGTTAATGTGTCTAAAGTGTCTTAATTTTCTGCTTTAATTTAATTGACTGTTACAAATGTAAATATTTTTATTGAAAACAGCAATTTAAATAGTTTTTTTATTCCATAGATGATCAATTGGTACAAAAATGTGGATCACTGGCATCATTTAATCCTTTTGATTTATTTAGGTAAGCTTTTTTGATTATCATCTCTCTGTTTAACCCAAATCTGGTCATTGATATCAGAAGATTCATGTTTTCATTTTGTTTTTATTTTTTACTTTTCCAGGAATCTGTTGAATGATAAAAATTTGGCTAAATTAAAAGACAAACTTGCTAATTTATTCAATGATGGACTTTTGAATAATAAAATTTACCCTTTACCAGCTGTAATCATAAATCGAACTGAAGTAATTACGAAAGGTCTGGAAATTTTGAATAACAAAAGTATAATTGAAAGATTTGTTATTGCAATTCGAGATGAAGTAAATGCTAAGCCAATTACAGTGAGATGTATTGCAAAAACTTACTTCAATTCAAAAAAGTGCTATATTCTGATCGGAGGATTAGGAGGAATCGGATTACAATTAACCAAATGGATGGTTAGCAGAGGAGCCAAGAATATTATAATTACTTCTCGCAATGGAATCACCAAACAATATCAACGTTTCATAATTTCTCGATTAAAATCTCTTCAATTTAACCCAAATAGTGATAATTGTACCTTATGCAAGTCATCAGATTCATCTGGAGCAAACATTGTTATCATCAATGAACCAACCAGCGATGAAGACTCTTGCGCTAAAATAATCAAAGAATCAATTGAAAATTATGGACCAATTGGTGGTATATTTAATTTAGCAGGGATTCTTAAGAGCGGATTGCTTGAGAACCAAACCTCTGAAACATTCATGGAAGTCTGTTTACCTAAAATTGAAGTGACGGAACATTTTGACAAATTATCAAGATTACATTGTCCACAATTGGATTATTTCGTCTGTTTCTCGTCAATTTCAGCCTTAGGAATTCTTGGTGAACCCAATTATGGTTATGCCAATTCTTATATGGATAGGTTGTGTGAAGAGCGAAGATCTCATGGTTTACCAGGAACAGCAATCCAATGGGGAGCCGTTGGAGATGTCGGTATGGCTCGACGTTTAATTACCGGTTCAACGGCTTCCATTGCAGGTTCAGCTGGTCGACGAGTTCTTGGTGTTATTGATGACTTGGACAAATTTTTACAATTACCTTATTCAGTATGTTATGCTGTACAGCATGCAACCAAACAAGAACACACTGTTTCTGGTAAAGGTAACATACTTCAACGGATTGGACATATTTTAGGTTGTCAAAGCTTGGACAAATTGGATGGTAACACAACACTTGGCTCTCTTGGTTTAGATTCATTACAAGCAATTGAAGTGAAAACTCTGATTGATACAACTTGTAATGTTAATTTATCCAACATTGCTATTCTTAAATTAACCATTTCTGAAGTGGATAAATTGGCAACTGATAGCAATCAAATGGCACCTGAAAATGATTTAGACAAAAGGAGTATCGAAGAGCAAACGTTAATCAACTTGACGGATAAAGGAACTGAACCCATATTTTTCTTTCCTCCAGCCTTTTTTGATTTTCTATCAATGATGCCAGTTGCTGAAGCTTTAAACAGGACTGTGGTTGGTGTTCAATTGACGGAAAAGGTTCGTTCTTTGGGAACATTCAAGCAAATTTCCAACTTCTATGCAGAAACCATATTAGCCGCTTATCCAAATTTAAAAAGATATGATTTTGTTGGTTATTCCTTTGGTTGTACTGTTGCTTTTGAATTGGCAAAAGTGTTACAAGAAATGATTGGGAAATCTCGAGTTGATCGGATTGTATTTATTGATGCTTCGCCTTATGGTTTGAAAAGGTTGGGACAAAAAACCATGAAAATGGTGCTTGCTGGTATTCCTAGTTGGGAAATATTCATTTCTATAATGCAGTTCATGGGTGTTAGAATTGACGAGAAAACTAAAAGATTATTAGAGGAATCTGAAGATGACGAGTTCATGTATCAAGAAGTTGTCACACAAACCCTGATTGATGCTGGAATGAATGGTCCCACTGATTCGTTGATTGACAATGCTGCCGGAATGATTGACAGAACTTATTATCTTGGATCAATGGAGGATTTAGGGACATTTGATGGCGATGCTTTGTTTATTCAAGTTATAAATAAAGCAGTTGTATCGAGCGGTACAAGTTCACTTGTTAATGAAGGTCTCCCTAAGGTAAATTTAACCATTAATTAACTAACATTCAATAATCTAACAATTTGTTTCTCTTTTTCTTGATTTTTTTCAAACAGATTATCAAAGGTGCTTTGAAAAAAGTCATGTTCAATGCAACTCATTTTGATGTACTCAAAGTTTACGCTCGGGAAGTAGCTGCTGAAATTGAAAAGATTATGCCATGATCAAGAATTTGGATTTTTTACTTGATGTACAAAGATTATTATTGAATAATTCTGGTAATTTTGGATAGACTAGTTAATCGAAGATTGGATTCTTTCTTTTTCAGTTTTGTGTTCAATAAATTTAACTTAAAATGAAGATTTAATCATTCAACTGTACTCTATTCAAACACTTGAATAATGGAATAGAAATCTCAGAGTTGACGAAATCCTGTTTATCCAGATTGAGAAATATCTGATGGAATCGGGATCAATGACAAGAATTAGGAAAGATCAGAAGACGGACAACTAAGTTCAACGACTATTCAATCAGTAAGCTGATTATTGTCCTGATGGTTGTTTGTTAGCAATAAGATAGATTTCAGTTGACAATAGATTAGGCCGTTTGAACTGCTTTTTTGTAAAACTTCCAAAATTGTGCCGTTGACGCGTTCATTAAAGAGTAATGTTTCTTTTTCTATCCAGTATCATTACTTTAAATTGAGTGAAACACAATTAAATTGGATAACAATGAATGCATGTATAATCAGATAGTTTTGGTTAAAGTCGATGAATTTTGTCACATCGTTAAAGTTGAAGAACCAGCGTTAAGCAATTGAATGGCAAGGAAACTAATCCAACACAAAATTGTCTATCTCTGACAATCCTGGAAATTACATTCATAAATTGACACGGAACCAAATAATTTGTTTACTTCGTAATTTGATTGGTTTGGAATTGAGTTTCACGAAGCAAAAGATTCATCTTAATTAAAGGTTCTTCTGTTTCTCCTATTTAGGTTTCATGGTCAATGTTGTGTTTATGAGAATCAGTTTTGACGGTAAATCTGAAATTATTGAAAGAGCGTAAATGTAACGATTGGAGAGAAACTGTTAAAACACATTTCTATCGATTCAGAAATGATTAAGCCTACTGGTTGTTTGATTGTTTACAATACGGTTGGTATAATTTTTTTGCTGAGCAACTAATTAACAGTTTAATTAATTTCATAGACTTCAAAATTTCCAATGAAATACAACCTTTATGCTCATCAAATTTTTCATTTGCCTAGCAGTTCGTTTCAACAATCATTTTCTATTTTTATTTTTGTCACTCTGTAAATTATGATCTTTTTAATTAAAAGCTTTTATCAATCAGAAAATTATTTCATGGAAAATACCAATTTAGTTGAAGAAAGTGAATGTTTTTGGTTAGTGAAATTCAAAAGAAGCGCTCCTATTGCATTTCATTGATGAAAATGAGGGAGAAAGAGTGAAAGGAAAAAAGTGCGAAGAAAGGTAATTTTCTCATTTCACTCTTCATTTCATTAATGGTTTGTAACACTGACGACTAATTTTGTATAATTCATCTTACGATAATCAACTAATAATCAAAGTGGATCATCATTACTGGCGTAGACCTGTTCTTTTCAAGACTAGGGTCCATTCAAATTATTTAAACAAAACGGAGACCCCATCAATAATTGGTAAGTTCATTTTCATTTAAAAGATTTTCAATTTTTGACGATTTCTCATTTACTTTTTGTATTTTGTTGAAACTTCTTCGCTTTAAATTAAGTTTAAATTCTTTGGCAATCAAAAAGTCAGATTAATTCTTGTGAGCTGAATGATTTAACTATTTTGCCCTCTCTTTCTTTACTAGACTGAATGAATATTTTTTTGTAAAATTGTTCGGTCCTTTATTTTTAATATTTATTAATTATTGACTGAGCAACAGCAATTTTGTTATACAAATAATTCTTAACTATAAATAGATATAAAACTTTCCCAGCTTTTTTTATCTCAACTATTTGATTTAAATCAGAGTGTGAAATTATAGACTAGAATTTACTGAAATCGTATTAGACTTGTTTGTGAAACTTAGTCTACCTTTCTCGATGTTTCTCTTTCTTCGGATTTTCCCATTGACTTTATTTTCTTTATTATGCATATTTTTTCTTGATCTCATCATTGTTTTGTGATTAATTTTCGATATTTTACTCTTAATCGTTCAATCAGGTATATGCCACAAATGTGGAGAAGCGGTCCTCAGCGAGGGCACTGGGTGCACCGCCATGGATCAAGTTTACCACATAAGATGCTTTAGATGTAGCATCTGTAATCGTATGCTTCAAGGTCTTCCATTTTATTCATTAGACGGAAAACCATACTGTGAAGATGATTATCTTAACACTTTGGAAAAATGTTGCGTCTGTAATCGACCCATCTTGGATAGAATCCTCCGAGCAACTGGTAAACCTTACCATGCTGAATGTTTCACTTGTACCGTTTGCGGTAAAGGTTTGGAGGGAATCCCATTCACTGTTGACAGTGGGAATCAGATACATTGTATACAAGATTTCAACAAAAAGTTCGCTCCTCGCTGTAGCGTTTGTGATAAACCAATCATTCCAGAACCTAATCAACCAAATACAGTTCGAGTTGTGGCTCTCGACAGAAATTTTCATGTCAGTTGTTACAAGTGTGAGGTAAATTACTTTACTTGAACTCTTTAACTCTTTGTGACTGTTTTATTTTAAACACCTAACCAACACCATCATCTGATTTCTATTTTTAAACACATCTCATAACACCATCGTTAATTGCTACAACTTCCTTTCTATTTAAAATCTTTATTTTGGTTTTGGCCAAGTTATTAATCTAATCTAACCTTTACTTCCTTTTTACTTATTCTTGTTTATGTTTTCTACTTCATTTTTCCTTTACCTTTTTTATTTTTCTCTTCTTTCTCTCTTCCTTTAATCTTCATCTTTTTCATCTTTTTTTCTTCTTTTTTACAGGATTGTGGTCTCCTCCTATCGTCTCAAGCTGAAGGAAGAGGCTGTTACCCTTTGGATGAGCATATCCTTTGTCGTAACTGCAACGCCCGAAGAGTGAGACAGTTAACAGCAAGTGTCTGCTAACCAAACAAGAACACACTGTTTCTGGTAAAGGTAACATACTTCAACGGATTGGACATATTTTAGGTTGTCAAAGCTTAGACAAATTGGATGGTAACACAACACTTGGCTCTCTTGGTTTAGATTCATTGCAAGCAATTGAAGTGAAAACTTTGATTGATACAACTTGTAATGTTAATTTATCCAACATTGCTATTCTTAAATTAACCATTTCTGAAGTGGATAAATTGGCAACTGATAGCAATCAAATGGCACCTGAAAATGATTTAGACAAAAGGAGTATCGAAGAGCAAACGTTAATCAACTTAACAGATAAAGGAACTGAACCCATATTTTTCTTTCCTCCAGCCTTTTTTGATTTTCTATCAATGATGCCAGTTGCTGAAGCTTTAAACAGGACTGTAGTTGGTGTTCAATTGACGGAAAAAGTTCGTTCTTTGGGAACATTCAAGCAAATTTCCAACTTCTATGCAGAAACCATATTAGCCGCTTATCCAAATTTAAAAAGATATGATTTTGGTTATTCCTTTGGTTGTACTGTTGCTTTTGAATTGGCAAAAGTGTTACAAGAAATGATTGGGAAATCTCGAGTTGATCGGATTGTATTTATTGATGCTTCGCCTTATGGTTTGAAAAGGTTGGGACAAAAAACCATGAAAATGGTGCTTGCTGGTATTCCTAGTTGGGAAATATTCATTTCTATAATGCAGTTCATGGGTGTTAGAATTGACGAGAAAACTAAAAGATTATTAGAGGAATCTGAAGATGACGAGTTCATGTATCAAGAAGTTGTCACACAAACCCTGATTGATGCTGGAATGAATGGTCTCACTGATTCGTTGATTGACAATGCTGCCGGAATGATTGACAGAACTTATTATCTTGGATCAATGGAGGATTTAGGGACATTTGATGGCGATGCTTTGTTTATTCAAGTTATAAATAAAGCAGTTGTATCGAGCGGTACAAGTTCACTTGTTAATGAAGGTCTCCCTAAGGTAAATTTAACCATTAATTATGAGCGAATTTTATTCAATAATCTAATTTGTTTATCTTTTTCTTGATTTTTTCAAACAGATTATCAAAGGTGCTTTGAAAACAGTCATGTTCAATGCAACTCATTTTGATGTACTCAAAGTTTACGCTCGGGAAGTAGCTGCTGAAATTGAAAAGATTATGCCGTGATCAAGAATTTGGATTTTTTTACTTGATGTACAAAGATTATTATTGAATAATTCTGGTAATTTTGGATAGACTAGTTAATCGAAGATTGGATTCTTTCTTTTTTTCAGTTTTGTGTTCAATAAATTTAACTTAAAATGAAGATTTAATCATTCAACTGTACTCTATTCAAACACTTGAATAATGGAATAGAAATCTCAGAGTTGACGAAATCCTGTTTATCCAGATTGAGAAATATCTGATGGAATCGGGATCAATGACAAGAATTAGGAAAGATCAGAAGACGGACAACTAAGTTCAACGACTATTCAATCAGTAAGCTGATTGTTGTCCTGATGGTTGTTTGTTAGCAATAAAATAGATTTCAGTTGACAATAGATTAGGCCGTTTGAACTGCTTTTTTGTAAAACTTCCAAAATGGTGCCGTTGACGCGTTCATTAAAGAGTAATGTTTCTTTTTCTATCCAGTATCATTACTTTAAATTGAGTGAAACACAATTAAATTGGATAACAATGAATGCATGTATAATCAGATAGTTTTGGTTAAAGTCGATGAATTTTGTCACATCGTTAAAGTTGAGAACCAGCGTTAACTAATTGAATGGCGAGGAAACTGATCCAACACAAAATAGTCTGTCTCTGGCAATCCTGGAAATTACATTCATAAATTGACACGGAACCAAATAATTTGTTTACTTCGTAATTTGATTGGTTTGGAATTGCGTTTCACGAAGAAAAAGATTCATCTTTATTAAAGGTTCTTCTGTTTCTCCTATTTAGGTTTCATGGTCAATGTTGAGTTTATGAGAATCAGTTTTGACGGTAAATCTGAAATTATTGAAAGAGTGTAAATGTAACGATTGGAGAGAAACTGTTAAAACAAATTTCTATCGATTCAGAAATGATTAAGCCTACTGATTGTTTGATTGTTTACAATACGGTTGGTATAATTGTTAGAGATTATTAGCTCGAATCGACAAAAGTGACTTGGTTAAGTTTAATTGACAAATCTTTTATTCAATTTACAAAAAAAAACAGCTTCATGATGAAACTTTCATCAATTGGAACAAGTTCATTCGTTAAAGGACTTTCCAAGGTAAATTAATCATGACAATTGATGAATATAAAAAAGGTAAAATTAGTAGTAGGTGTTACAGGTAGGAAAATTGTTGCGATTTAATTACTACATTTTACTCTTTAATTTAATCACTTGGGTTTCATCAAAAGTAAAGAGATCGAGGGACATTTAAGGCTGTCTTGCCCAGTGCAAGTGATATATTTTGATCAGTTTTACCGCGAAAAGTGGCAATTTATATTGATAATGTTTTGATAAATCACCTTGATTTGATTAATAGAAATGGTGATAATGATTCGACAAAAATATCAGAATATGCTTAGTTAGATATAATTAACTGGAAAATTTTGCAATGGTTTTCAAGCTGATTTAATTAGGCAACTTGTCCTGAATAAATACGCAAAAACAGTCTTTATTGCTGGAAAAGTGTTACCTGTAAAAAAATTTCATTTGATGATTTTGGTTCTCTTCAAGTATTATCTTTTCCTTGATGAATGTAATCCCACAATTGGTTCAGTTTTCATGATTTGAATGTTCATTTGATGATGTAACTTGGCATTTTCCCGTTTATTGATTCATCGGATGTTCGTTGTATTTACTCTTGTTATCACTGATAACAATAGATTCCAAACATTTAACACTAACTGGTAGATGATGATGATTATTATTATAATAATAAATGATGTTTACGATCTTCATGAAGAAGATGAGGATGATAACGATGATAGCTGAAGGTTCACTTTTTGTTCATAAGGCAGTCTTAATTGTATTGTTACAAATAAATATCATCACAATTTTGCTTTAACATGTTCCATTAAAATTGCTTGGTAGTTGTTTTTCTTTCTCTTCTTGGTCTAAGTCTACTGTTTTCTTTGACGGGTTCTTTAACAGGTTCCTTAACAGGTTCTTTAACATTTTCTTGTATATTTTCTTTACCAGCATCCATGTCAATGTCTATGATTTCTTTAACAGTTTCTTTTCCATTTTCTATCACTTCTTCAATCTCAATTTCATTTCCAATATCTTTGCTTATCTCCTTTAAACCATCTGAATTAAGCACTTGTGTAAGACCATAGGCAAGCGCATTATGTAAAGGCGCAGAAAAATTTCTCCACAAATGGCTTATCCCAGCAAAGCTAAATATAGTTGCTTTATTTATATAAGAATCGATGATCTACAAGAGAAGAAAGAAGAGAAAAGATGAACAATTAAAGTCTGTGGATAAACAGAAAAAAAGGGAGACTTGAGGTTTCCAAAACAGAAACGTTTCACATTTCAAGATTTCAATGTCTCTTCCTGGATGCAATTTTTGGATAATCTTACCTCTTCACGTTTATTAAGCTCAGGGTGGATAACAGTTTTGTAAAATACTTTGGCACCATTGCCATAAGGAGACATTAACCATAATATAAAGAAAATTTTAAACTCGTAGTAAAAAGGAAACCAGAAGGCAATCAATATATCTGAAAAAAATTCAGTTGCATTGAAGATACCATAACAAACCCAGTACATCATCCATCTTGACTATAAAATAAAAGAGAAACAGAGAATGAAATTATGACGAAAGTTCATATTAAATATATGTTTTAAAGTAACAGGGGTGTTAATTGTGTTGAAAGACACAAGAGAGGTTAATTGTGAGCAGAGATAAAATAATTAATCAAAGAGTAACTTACATGTTCTCGGGCATCTTTCTTTTTAATTGCCTTATAAGATGAATATGCTGGATAAAGTGTACCAAAAACTAATTTACAATGTGAATAAAAATATTTAGCTATAAAATTAAACGCTGACGATGCAAAAAGTACCAACAGAATCATAAAAAGTAGAAACATAGGTATCATGATTGAATTTTATGAAAAAAGGATTACTTTTGTTTGCATTTTCTCTCCTTTTAAAACTCAACAACAACAACCGCTAACATTTTGAAGTAACGATACAAATAGATGGCGCTTTGAATAGAGTTAGATATCCTCAATAGATGTCACCATCACCAAACAATGATTGTTTTAAATTGTTTCAATTGTAATAACAATCAGTAAACATTTTGCATTCAAAATACATTTCTTATTCTTAAGAATCCTACAATACAAATTAAAATTTAGCTCGATTACTTTGACTAGCCTTCCATAGCATGAAACGATTGCTGAGTCGTTTAAAGAAGAGTTGAATTTTTTTGAATTTCTTGCCTGACTATTAAAATCAAAATGTTTTTCATCATCAAAAGTTAAATTAATTTAATAGGACTCTGTTAGTTTATGAGAGCATAAAAACTGAGTCCATTTGCACTATTTAAATATTTCTCGGATGAAAAGGTTTCGAGAAAATCGAGATCAAAGTTGAAACTTCGATCACATTTTGAGCGACTATGAGAGCAGATCTTTTCATGAAACTTATTTTTCTTGTGTAACTTTTGATGGCTAACGAGTAAATAAACAGTTTTGAGAAATAGAACTTTTCTTTTTCTTTAAAAAAGATAAATTCGATTTTTAGCTGAGCAAATCGCATTCTGTGGCCATAAGAGTTAGAGAGCTGGAACTTGATATTTGTCGATAAAAGTTATTGGTACACATTGGGGATAAAATATTTGTTTCAATTTATCAACTGTTCTCTTGATTTTGGCCATTTACCTAAAAACGAGCCTCGATATTTTGAGTATGGAAGTACTTACAGTCCTCATTCTTTCACTAATTTAATCTTTTAACAATAAAGTATTCAATACAATTTAATAACTTTTGATTAGCGCATTTGGTTGTCATATTTAACTTGTAAATAGACGAGCAACAACTTATTCAACAAAGTAAACTTATCCATTATCTAGGTGAATAAAGCACTTTTCTGGTTTAACTTGCAAATGAAATGTACAAAGTACTGCAAACGGCTCGAAACATTTGAGCTAAGAGTCAAGACTTAGTGGAATTGTAGGGATATAAGAACTGAGTCTATTGATGCTTCTAAATAACTGATCCGATAGAGAGTTTTTTAGAAAATAGAGGTCAAAGTTAAAACTTCGGTAGCCTTTTGTTAGCTATGGAAGCAGCCTTTTTCATGAAACTTCACTTAATTAACTTCACTCGCTTTTAGTAAACAACTCGAAAATAGTCTTAGTTTAAGAAATAATATTTTCTTTTTTGTAAAATGGAACAAGTTCGAATTTTAGTTGAAATAAAACGCATTCTGGGGCCATAAGAGAAGAAACTCAATATTTGTCGATGAGAATTGCTGCTACACATCATGCATTGATTAATCATTTTTTTCATTCTATCGTTGGAATCGGTCATCTAGGTTGACCTATTCCTGGAGATATTAACAATGGACGACCTTATCAATGAACTCTTGTCAAGAATGTCGCAGCAACAACTGGACCAATCAACTTTTGTTCAAAGAGCTGTTTATCTAATTGAACAAATCTCGACCAATTTACAATTCTTAATGGCTTCAGTATGGAACATTACTTCGGAACATTTACTTTTTTTGGTTTTAGTGGCCATAAAATGGACTGTCTGGCTACTTCGCGGTATTGGTTTACCTCCATGAGAAGCACAGTTCACCTTATTAAACACTCACCAAGACATATAACAACTCCTCTATTATTAATAACTGTACTCAATAACTAACCAAGAAAAAGAGCTTTTGTATTAGTTAAATATTATCAACATGAAGAGAGACAATAATGTGTCACACTTGACAAGTCCACAGGTTAAAAACTGGCTTATTAGCAGGTTGTTAATATTAAAACTGTATTAAGACAGAATTGATAGAGATTGGGTCTTTCAATCTCAGTCCCTGTTAGTTTATGTGGAAATGAAAACTGAATCCATTTGTACAATTTCAAAAGTTCTCCGATGAAAACTTTTCGAGAAAATGGAGGCTAAAGTTTGAACTTCGATCGCCTTTTGTTTAGCAACGGAAGCAGCTTTTGCAAGGCAATTTATTTTATTTGTACAACTTTTGATGAACAACCAGAAATTGGTCTTAATTTGATCAATAAAGTTTTGTGTTTTCTGTAGAACAAATAAGTTCGTTTTTTATTTAAATCGATCGCATTCGGTGATGGTAAAAGTTAACTATCTGAAAATTGTTATTTGTCAGTAAAAGTTATTAGTATACATTGTGCATTAAATAATTTTTTCAATCTATCAACTGTTCTCTTGATTTCGGCCATTTACGTAAAAACTTTTAGCCTCGATATTTCGAGTATGGTTGTACCTACAGTCCTCGTTCCTTCACTAATTTAATCCTCTACTAACCAATAATCTTATGCAGTTTAAAAACTTTTGTTTAGTTCGTTCGGATTAAGATATTTTGACTTTGAAGGCACAAACAACAGCTTATTTAACAAACCAAACTCAAATAAACACATAACTTGGTGAATAAACCACTTTTCTGGTTAAACTAACAAATGAAATGCAAAAAGTATTGCCAAAAGCTCGAAAGTTTGAGTAGAGAGTTGAGACTTAAAGCGTTTGTAGGCACATAAAAACTGAGTCTATTGGTACTATTAACTAATTCATGAGATAGACAGTTTTCTAGAAAATGGAGGTCAAATTTAAAACTTCGACTGCTTTTTGTTTGGCTATGGAAGCAGCATTTGCAAAGAAACTTATTTTGGTAGTGTAACTTTTGATGAAAAATCAGAAATGTTGTTATTCTGAGAAATAATATTCTGTGTTTTCAGTAAAACAGATAAGTTCGATTTTTAGTTAAACCGGCCGCATTCTGTGGCCATAATAGTTAGAGAGCTGAAACTCAATATTTGTATATAAAAGTTATTGGTACACATTGTGGATCAAATAATTTTCTCAATTTATAAACTGTTCTCTGGATTTCGGCCATTAATCTGAAAACTTTGAACCTCGATATTGCGAATAAGACTGCACTTACAGTCCTCATTCTTTCACTAATTTATTCCTTTACTAACTAATAGTTCTTTGCAATTTGAAAACTTTCGATTGCCGCATTCGGATTACAATGATTTGGGTTTTAAACGCACGAGCAACAACTTATTTGCCAAACTCACTCAAAAAAACCAACTTCTTGGTAAAGAAACCACTTTTCTGGTTAAACTAACAAATGAAATGCAAAAAGTATCGACAACATTTGAATAAAGTGTTGAGACTTGGTGCATTTGTAGGGACATAAAAACTGAGTCTATTGGTGCTAATAAGTATTTCATAAGATGGACAGTTTTCTAGAAAATGGAGGTCAAAGTTGAAACTTCGATCGCCTTTTGTTCGGCTCTGGAAGCAGCTTTTTTCATGAAACTTCGCTCAATTGATTGGCATTTTGAAAAAATTCCAGAAAATGGACTCATTTTGAGAAATACATTTTCTGTTTCTGTAAAATAGATCAAGTTCGATTTTTAGCTGAACCGACCGCATTCTGTGGTCATAAGAGTTAGAGAGAAGAAACTTAATATTTATCGATATAAATTGCTGCTGAACATCATGCATTTGTTAATTTTTTCAGTTTATTAATGGTTCTCTTAATTTTGACCATTTACTTAAAAAATTTTATCCTCGATATTTCGAGAATGGCATCACTTAGAACTACCATTCTTTGACCAAACATTAGATTACATCATGGGTGTCATATCATAACATTTATTACTTTCGTTTTTAGATTTGAAACTTGCTTAATAAAGGGTAAATTAAATGTAGCTGAAAGAAGATTTGTGTTGAATCAAACAGTGTTGATTCTAGAATATTCATTAAATCAATTAACTTGGATTTTATTCGTTATTAAGTCATATATTGTTATTGCCTATAATGCAATCCAATGTTTGGCCAAATAATGAGGACTGAAGGTGCTACCATACTCGAAATATCGAGGCAAAAAGTTTTTACATAAATGGCCAAAATCAAGAACAATTTCGATAAATTAAAAAAAATATTCAACTCCTAACACCACTACTCAACTTCTACTTGTACACATCAGTAGTAACATGTTTTTCCCTCAACCTTTATCGACAAGTATCAAGTTTCATCTCTCTAACTCTTATGATAGCAGAATGCGGTCGGTTCAGCTAAAAATCGAACTTGATCTATTTTACAGAAACAGAAAATGTATTTCTCAAAATGAGACCATTTTCTGGAAGTTTGTCAAAATGCTAATCAATTGAGCGAAGTTTCATGAAAAAAGCTGCTTCCTTAGCCGAACAAAAGGCGATCGAAGTTTCAACTTTGACCTCCATTTTCTAGAAAACTGTTCGTCTTATGAATTATTTGTTAGCACCAATAGACTCAGTTTTCAAGTCCTTACAAATGTACCAACTTTCAACTCTCTACTCAAATGTTCGAGCTTTTGGCAATACTTTCTGCATTTCACTTGTAAGTTTAACCAGAAAAGTGGTTTATTTACCAAGTTATGTGTTTATTTGAGTTTGGTTAGTGAAATGAGTTGTTGCTTGTGCATTTAAAGCCAAAAAATCTTAATCCAAATGAATTAATCGCAACTTTTTATATTGCATAGGATTATTGGTTGGTAAAGGATTAAATTAGTGAAAGAATGGGGACTGTAGGTACAAGTATGCTCGAAATATTGAGGTTCAAAGTTTTTCTATTAATGGCCGAAATCAAGAGAACAGTTTATTTCTTGGTAAATTTATTTAATGCACGATGTGTAACAATAACTTTTATCGACTAATTTGAAGTTTCAGCTCTCTAACTCTTATAAAAACAGAATGCGGCTGGTTTAACTAAAAATCGAACTTATCTGTTTTACAGAGAACACAGAATGTTATTTCTCGAAATAACAACATTTTCTAATTCTTCATTAAAAGTTACACTACCAAAATAAGTTTCTTTGCAAAAGCTGCTTCCATAGCCGAGGAAAAGGCGATCGAAGTTTCAACTTTGACCTTCATTTTCTAGAAAACTGTTCACGGGACGAACTAGTTAATAGTGCCAATGGACCCAGTTTTCATGTCCCTAACAAATGCACTAACTCTTAACTCGCTACTCAAATGATCAAGCTTTTGGTAGTAACTTCTGCATTTCATTTGTAAGCTTAACCAGAAAAGTGGTTGCTTACCAAGTTATGTGTTTATTTGAGTTTGGTTAGTGAAATGAGTTGTTGCTTGTGCGTTTAAAACCAAATCATTGTAATCAAAATGTGCTAATTGAAAGTTTGCAAATTGCAAAGAACTTCTGGTTAGTAAATGATTAAATTAGTGAAAGAATGAGGACTGTAGGTACAACCATTCTCAACATATCGAGGCTCAAAGTTTTTAAGTAATTGGCCGAAATCAAGAGAACAGTTGATAGATTGAAAAAATTATTTGATCCACAATGTGTACCAATAACTTTTATCGACGAATATCAAGTTGCAGATGGGTAACTTTTACCATCACCGAATGCGATCGATTTAAATAAAAAACAAACTTATTTGTTCTACAGAAAACACAAAACTTTATTGATCAAATTAAGACCATTTTCTGATTGTTCATCAAAAGTTGTACAAGCAAAATAAGTTCCATTGCAAAAGCTTGTTCAATTTTTGCACAAAACGCGATCGAAGTTCTAACTTTGACCTCGATTTTCGTGTAAACTTTTCATTGGAGAACTTTTTAAATCTCCAAATGGATTCATTCTCCATGTCCCTACAAACCAAAAGAGTTGTTATTTGAAAGAAATTAATTTTCACCCGTTTTTTGGCCATTTGTTTCACGTTGTGCATAAATGTGATAATTGTTTTCTTTTAATAGTAACATCCGCGTATTTCACTTGCTAGCAATTCTTTTAACCTGTGGACTTGTAAATTGTGACAAATTATTCTGTCTCTTCATGTTGAATTTATTTAACTAATACAAATGCACTTTTTCTTGGTTAATTATTGAGTACAGTTATTCATAGAGATGTTGTTATATGTCTTGGTAAGGTGTTTAATAAGGTGAACTGTGCTTCCCATGGAATAAGCTGAAGGTAAACCAATACCGCGAAGTAGCCAGAGAGTCCATTTTAAGGTCACTAAAACCAAAAAAAGTAAATGTTCTGAAGTAAAGTTCCATACTGAAGCCATAAAAAATTGTAAATTGGTCGAGATTTGTTCAATGAGATAAACAGCTCTTTGAACAAAAGTTGATTGGTCCAGTTGTTGCTGCGACATTCTTGAAAAGAGTCAGAAGATAGCGCTAAACAGTGTTATTAAGAGCAGTTTCACAATACGAATAGGTCAACCTAAATGGCCTATTCCAACGGTGGGATGAAATAAATAATTAACTTTTTTAAATCAATAGGAATATTTTTTAGTCGCTTTGACAATATAATCAATGACAAAATGAAGGAATAATTGAACAAAAGTAAAGATTGGATAACATTAAATCACTATTTTATTACCACATCGGAAAATAGACTTTACGGACCTTTCGCCTGACTTACCCAATTGTTTCAAAATCTTGTTTATTTTTCAGTGCAAATATGTTAAAACAAAGAGTAGTTAGTAGTTATTGTTCTAACATGTCAAAATTTGAAAAATAAAGCTTGAACAAAAGTGTTGAACAACAACAATCAAGATTAGAATTACACATCGCGGTGATTTTCAGTAAATGAGTTTATTAATTATTCCATAATTGAGTATAAGGGTGTCAAAGGTCGACTTAAAGTCAGTCTGTCACTATCAATTCATTATTCAGTCAATCGATGCAAGTATCCACTAACTTCGGTGTCTTTACGACATTTAATCAGCGTAATTTTGATGAGATTAAACGCCATCTATTGTGTTCAAATCTTAATTATCTTGATTAACAAAGTTTGTTAAACAAACTCATTTTAAATGATAGATCATTTAATAGATATTGTATCGGATCCGGAGTTGATCCTTTAACCTATTGACATCTATCGAGCTCAACACAAACTAATGCTAAATGTATTGCTTATTGTTTTTATTTTATACAAATAATTTTTGTGTATTTTGAATTATTTTAATTGTGTCAAAATTACAATTTGAATATGCATGGTTTTTCTAGTTTTATCGGTTTTTGATCTCTACCAACTCTGAAACCTTAGGAGTGATGGTTCGTAAACACGGGTAAAATATCTTCACATTTACTGAATAATCCCAAGAATGAATATGAATATGGGTCCTAAGAAAGAGCATAAAACCAGTTCCAATACTAATAAAAATAAAATTGATCGTTCTACTGTTGAACAAAATTTAGCTGCTGCTCGTGCTGCTGCTGAAAGTTCTGTAAAACACGCAAAATCTGCTAGTGTTTTATCTGCTGGTGCTGATTCTGTATTGAATGAAGCATGTATTGCTGCTCAATCTTCACAATCTGCCATAGAAGAAAGCTATAAAAATCATCCATATGCTCTTGCTCAGTTAGAAGAATACTATAAAAAATATCCACAGCATAAACCAGTATATAAAAAAAATAGATTTAATCTGTCTGTGCAAGATTTATCGACTAGATACAAGGTACTTCTTGCACCACTCACGGAACCTTACTATTACCCATCACTATCGTGTCTTTTTCGAGTAGAAATTTGATTATCATGAAAGCTAAGCCATTTGTATCAAGTGAATGAATTGCATCAACTTTTACTCTTGATTGGATCTCATTTGGTAAGTAAAATTTCATTTTTTATATTAAACAAATGTTTTGCTTTACAAGTAACAAAATATCAATTCAGAATAACTTTCTTTTCTCTCCTTGAATCGCATCTGGTTTACAATAACTCACCTTCTTAACACACTCGAGAAGTTTTGAATAACTGTTTAACTAGATCAAAATGGATTTTAGTTGACTTCTGGTCTAAACATCTCTTCAAAATTACCTTCAAGTAATGGAAGGCTCCAAAAAGACTTTTCGTTGAGGAAACCAAAGCAAGAATAACCAAAGGAATCCTCTGCCAATACATGACAATTGTGCCAAAAATGCATTGTATTATTACTAGCAATTTTCATGAAAAAATTGCATTTCGTTAACGTTTAAATCATGTTAAGCACTGCGTTAACAATTAATAGTGTAACTGTTATTTAATGAATGTTGCGTCAATAAATGTACTCGATCAATACAAGACTTGAAGTGATATTTATAAAAACTGATTACAATCAAACATCAAATCAACCCAATTTATAGAATCAATTCACTTTCTTTTGACCATTTCATTTTCACGGTAAATCAAAAGGCGATAATTCAGTCCAAGCAAATCTTTAGATCTGAACATAACCAATGAACTATTCATGTAAGATGAAAATTTAATGGGCAACATGATGTTGATCCTTTAATACTAATCAACATTAAGTTGTAAAGAGGAAAAAAAATAAACCAATTTGATAGATTTTTACATTTCTTTTGATAATTAATAAATTACAATTTGCCTTAAAACCTCTCCGAATGGGCAAGCAATTATAAAGAAACTTAAATTGTTTAATCTCTAAAGTTGAGAAGAAGCAAAAAATGAGAGGAAAATGAAATAAATAATCATGAAGATGATACTGAAGATGAACATTTCATTTCTTTCCATCTTCATCTTTAAGGTCATTTACCCTGATAAACCAGAAAATAGCTAAAAAACCAGATTAACCCAAAAAAGGTTGGTCGGTAAAAGTAAGCCACCCCTTAACAACCATAAACTTGGTAACTAAGGTATTTTTATATGACAGTTAGGATTTTCATGTCGAGAGTTTGTTTATTATATGAAAAAAACATCATTTATTAATATTATTATATTAATTATTATTATGAATCTAATTGTATTATATTATTAATTGATTACTGGTGACTTTATTTGTTCCATTAGGATTACTATTATCATCTAAATTAAGGTTATAATACAAATTAAATTGTGCAATCTTGATTCTGTTTCATTTCTTATACAGTTTTCCCTTTCTGCTTCTTTCTCCTTACTTCTTCTACCACTCAACCTTCATTACCAATCACCATCTCGTTGTTTTACATTATATTTTTCAGTTTTACATTCCAATTGTTGTCGATTTGTTCATCATTTAAATGTAAGTAATCAATTCATCTTTAATCGTAATCCTTAACCTTCTAACCTACCTTTAATTTTGGAAATAATATCAATGTTTCATTACGATAATGACCAACTCCAGATTTTCCATTCTTTTTAGCTTTCCTTCAACATTTCTTCCATGTTTAGAGCTGTAAAAAACAACTGTAATCTTTATTCATTTTCATCGTTCTTTTATCTCTTTTATCCCTCCATTTTTCTTTGACATTTTTTTCTCTCTTCATCTCATTTATTCTGCCCCCCATAAATCACTACCCCAATACATTAAATCATCTATTTCATCTCTTAATTTCTCGCTCATTTTGGTTCACTTTCTTTCCCTCCTTTCTTTCCATTGCGACTTGTTTCACCTTCCATTTTTATTTGTGTATCTACAACAATGATTGTGATTTGTTTTGTTATCATCTTTTAATTGATTAACCACCAATCAGGTCCAATTTACAGATGACTGTTATTTTTTATTCTCAACTGTGAATTTTGATTGCAACCGTCCACTAATTTCAGCTTCAATTGTATTTCTATTTTGTAACCGTTCTTTCGCTCTTCATTCAACTTACCTTTTTACCTTTTCAACCTTTACAACCTTTTCATTTCAATTCTATTGATAATATTTATTCCATATTTTCTAATTTCGCATTTTCTCTTTCTTTTTTTCAACAGTTTCAATTGTTGGTGTATTGTGTGTTACCAGGTTTATTAGGTTCCACTATAATTGCAAGTTTTACCGTCAATTCTTGGAGCGCGCGCTTATGTATTGTTCCACCAACCATTACTCAACGATCGATATCAATTCAACGGAAAATGGGTGCAATTAAAAGGCTATGATTGTGTTCAGTGTTTGTGATTTTTCTCATCTTTCCACATCAATATCGATAATCAAACAAAGGATCATTCAGGATACCAATTAATCACAAGTTGTTTCCATTCCTCACCTTTTCAAGTTTATGTTGCATTATATAATATTTTGTTATTCATGTGTGTTAATGTGTACAAAAAAAGGAGAGAATCTGCAGCAAAAAATAAAAAGTTGAGGATCATCATCAATGCTAATTTGTCCCACATGTTGTGAGCAATGTATAGATGGTATTTGTTAACTGAATCACCAGCATCAACCATAAAGCAGGGCAACACTTGCAACATTACCATCAAAAGCGCCATCAGTCTATCACTAGAATCAAACCATTTTGTCAACACCAAGGGAATAAAAAAATCGCCGTTAAACCCATCATTTGAAAGCAATATTATTGACAAGCTTACAACTCAAGTCAAGATTATCCTTTCCTTACCACTGATCAGCAGGAGATGGCCTACAAATGGAGGGATGAAATAGTTGGTAAACGATTTTTATGTGTAACAACATCGAGTAAAATTAAAGTCAAAAAAATAAACGAATGGAACTGGCGTCAAGGTATCATTCGAGCTTCAAATAGATCCCATACAAAGCACAACGATTTAACGGTAAGCCAAATTACCCAAAAATATACTCAACCTTGCATAATGTTGGAAGAAATATTTTTTTCTTCTTTTCTTAATTGATTGAAACCTTAGGATATTCAATTCAGCTAATTAAAATGAACTTCTAAAAGATGGAAATTAAATCATGACAAAGTTGTTTTAAATATTTATGTCAAGTTAGTTGGTTACCTTCCTTTCAAGTATCCCTTGATATGTAATCAGTGTTTTTTTACCATTCTTGTAATGAAAAACCAATTAAAGCAATATCATGGTGATTCAGGTTTAACCATATTGAAACAAACATACAGAGTGATCCAAGTTGTTCCTCTTCTTACAACCTAAATTGTTGAGCAAAACAACCTTAACGTATGATTACATCTACCCATTTAAATTTACCTTATAAATTAATCAATAGGAAAACCAAATTGCCATTATTCATCAATAAATTTTGACCCAACAATCAAACTGATGAACTTGGAAATATTGACAAACAACTTCGTACTGCTCTAATGTATTTTCACTGCTTTTGCCTTACATTGCTTTTCCAACTCGCATTTCAAATGCTATTTGATTTCATGCAAAATTTGTCTTTCAATTTGATTGTCATTCATTTAAACAGTCAATCAGATTGACAGTTTCAATTGTGGTTACTTTTTGTTTCTTTATAATGCGCTTTTTGAGCCAAAATTAAGGCCAAAAACTGTAAATAGTTGCATGAAAAGCTCATTGATATAAAAAGACATGTAATTGTTGAAATATGGCCAACATTTTCAACTTGATTCTTACTTTTAATTTGGTCGTTTTTTGCTCATTTTTGATGCATGTGAATGAAACAAAACAAGCATAAAATGATGATGATAATCATCACGATCATGATGAAATAAGGAATGATGTTGGCGGAAAGATTGAAAGTCTATAAGAGGAATCAAATTTTACTTGTTATGCTCATACCCTGGAAAGCTAGTTTTTTTGGTTTCAGGTAAAGCTTGTTTTGTATCTAGGACAACTCTCATCTTTCACTCGCACTCATCTCAATAAACCGGTTGTAAAGCCCAATCAGAAAAAAACATCAACTCTCTCTCATCTTCATCTTATCCTCATCATCACGTCCTCTTTCATCCCTGTTTTTCCCTTCTTACCTTCCTCTTGAAATTTCCTCAAGTGGCATCAATTTTGTGCGCCATCTATTCCTGGTAATAGTCTTGATGTACCAACAAATGATGACAGTAATTATTGTATTCCTTGTCTTTTCGTCCTCATTCAGTTAATCATCGGCTCCCTCTTTTTTTCCTCTCTAACAGTACAGGTTGAAGCAAAAAATAAATAATCGAAAAACATTCTTACAAAATAAATGAACAATAATGTACAATATACACGCAACTTTATCACAACTTTTCCCTTTTTTTCTTCTTCTACCTTCAACGTGGTCAAATATAGTTTGAAATTTTCTCATCATTTTGTTCGCTATCGATTGTTTCGATTGAATGGTTCACAACCACTAATGATTCGATATGCATCATCAATCGCAATTCTTAACTGGTTTCCCTTTCAATCGAACTTCATAATAACATCGTTCTACATTCAATCTACTTTTCTTTTTACTCTCATTTCTCTTTCCAATTCATCTTTCCTGTTTCTTCATTTACCAATTTAATGAAACAATGACAATTTATTGTTTCTATTTTTTCCCTCATTTCAACGTTTTTAAGCTTCAATTTTATTAATTTATCCAATGAAACGAAAAATAAAAGTCTATCAAAATAAATCCTCTTTACTTTCATCTCGAGTGATTTACTGATTGCAATATCACCTCTTCAACCACAACATGTTACTTGAATATCTGATCAATTTTAGGCCTGAAAATTGAATCTCAAATTATTTCCTACTAAAGGGAAAATTAATAAATGATTAAATTTGAATATTATCATTTTAGGTAAAGGTTAATTTCAAAGAGTGTTATTTGAATTGATATTTTGTTGTTTCACTAACATTTGTTTCACACTTCTAATTACATCTAATTGCATTTAATAATAAAGTTATTACTTCTCTATTCAGGTTATTTTTTATCTGTGAATATTGTAGTTGACCTACTACGTTATAAGCTTTGTGAATAGAGAGGCACGTAATAAAAGACCCAAAATTGGATAAAAAAAGTGCATCAAAAGACCACAAAATAAGGATTATTATAAAATTGATAAAAGTGAACATTATTCTCGATAACTTGACATTCAATCTAATAAAATTGCTATGGAAACAGTTGATGATGTTTTGAACAATATAAATGGTTTGTTATCAACTCGAGCCAACACTGCCACTGATGAACTCAACTTGATACGCGAACCAATAATTGGAACCTATTTTTATACACAATTTAGATGCATCATGAGTTTGATTGGTTTACCCAAAAATGCTCATCAAATGCCAGGGCAACATGAACAACTTCATCTCCACTCATCATGTTTACCAACAAATTTACACATTGATCCACGTGAAATGAAACGACTAACAGCCAACCAGTTATCATGTTTCCTTGAGAAATGTGAAACTCTTCTTGATTTTGCCTGGGAATATTTAAATATTGGACATTGGAAGTCGATCAAGATTGACTATAGATATTTTTATGGTTACATTTGTGTGGCTAAAATAGTTTTAAAATTGCGTCAAATTTACCTTTTGAATGAACATTGTCTCAATGAAAGTGAAACAGATGATAGCGATGAAGATGCGATTGAAACTGAGGCTCAGGTAAAGAGTAATGAAAGTTTATTACCAAAAGGAATGGATTTGGAAAGTTTACAATTATTGATAAAAGTGGCTGACTTGGCTTGTATAATGTGTCCACCAATTATGAATGGGATTGCATCTGAAATGGCCAGTAAACTTCATCAACTCATTGCTCCCTGTTACTCATTGAAGTGGAAAACATTGTCAGATGATATTAAATCAAGGCAACGAGTTTTGATTAAACCAATCGATTCAGCCAAAAAGATAGACTCCATTTACTGTCCATCTTTGGAAACCTTTCAACAATTGTTACAACTGGAAAAACCTTGCATCATTACCGGAGCCATGGACCATTGGCCAGCCTACAATCCACAATCGAATCACCATTGGTCATTAGAGTACATCTTGTCCAGAATAGGAGCTCGAACAGTTGCAGTTGAAATTGGAGCAAAATACACCGACAGTGAATGGAGTCAAAACCTAATGACGGTCGACTCTTTCATTGATAAACACTGGGTCGATGGAACTGGTAAAGGTTACATTGCACAGCAAGAACTGTTTCAACAGTGCACCGAACTGTCTCACGACTTTTCCATACCCGACTACTGTGGACTTGGACGGACCATTGAGACTGATGAAGAGATCAACAGTCTTGGTAACATTGTCATCAATGGTTGGTTTGGTCCATGGGGAACCGTCTCACCTCTACACTTTGATCCGTATGATAATTTGTTGGCTCAAGTTGTTGGCCGTAAATACATCAGATTATATTCAAGTTCAACTGAACCCGGTTCAGTTTATCCCTTCTCTGATTACCTTCTTTCCAATACAAGTCAGGTTGATGTTGAATCGGTTGATGTTGAAAAGTTTCCCATGTTTCCCTCATTACCCTACCTTGAGTGTTGCCTTGAACAAGGACAAATGCTTTACATACCCAAAGGTTATTGGCATTATGTTAAATCGCTGTCAATCAGTTTCTCTATTAATTTCTGGTGGACTTGATTATCATTAATTGATATTTACTTTTGATTGCCAACCAATTTGTACTAAACTTGATTTCAGTTGAAATTCAACTCTATTAATAGCTTTTGCGTTTTGTAATAATTTGAAAAAAAATGAATGACAAGAAAAATTGAAACTGTAAATTGGTTAAATTGAATTGATAATTAAAATATTTACATTTCTCATTTTCCATTATCGATTATAATTACAGTTAATTACGGTAACCTTTATCATCTCTGGTTTCAATCAATAATCATGCAATTATTTCTATTCAAGAATCATTATTTTAACCCAATTTTTAATGAATCCTTTTCTCTCTTTTTTCAGGTGTTAGTTGAATATGATGGTGTTGATTGGAGGAAAAGGGAATGGATTAAAGTTTATGATCAACAATTTCATGTTTTCTTGATTGAATACAACATTGTTTGGTCAACAAGAGCGGACACTGTTTTAGGCAAAAACAAGCAATGGCTTGCATTGGTAAGTTCATCTACAATCAAATAGTGACAAATTGATGGTTACAAGGAAAGACAACAATGACAAGTTAATCAACACTCCAACGTTCAATTTCTGGTTAATTAGGATTCTACCATTTCTTATGTAATCTTGAAAATTGTCAATTGTTGTCTCAGCGTAATTGTTTAGACTTTAGATGAAAAAAGTCACGAATGGCCAACGCTAGAGGAAAGACCAGTTTACCGATTTCAACCAAATTTCCTGTTGCACATCTTTAGGTCTCGAGGCATTGCAGCTGGAAATTTGGTTGAATTTGGTCCACTTTGCCAAAAATATCCATTAGTTCGATGGAGATTAAACTAATCAAACCTAATGATTTATACAATCCTAGTTTTAAATGTTAATTAAGCAAGAATAATTGTGCGAATCTTTCAGTTTAAACAATTAACACTTGGTTAGATTAATTGTTCATCTGGTTTGGTTTTCATCGATTTTCATATTAATCAACTTTTCTAATCTAATTCAATCTTACATTGACCCTGACCCTGAAGTGAATAATTTATCATGAATACTTAATATTAGTGTTGAATGTGTCAATGAACATTTCTGCGAACTGACAATTAGTGATTATGATAAATTGCTTATTAGAGTTAACTTGATTTTGTTTTGTTTTTCCTTGCCACTCATCATTTACATCTTTAGTAGACAATATTCAAATTAAATTTGTAAAGATACAAAATGATTACTTTTTACTTGCTAAATGGTTATTGATTGTAATTTGCAATTTAAAACGTTAATTTGTTTCTCTTTACTCATGTTCATCCATGTTTGATTCCTGTTGACAATTGTTTCCCTTAATTACAGAATTTCAAAATTCTTGTTGACAAAGTTGGCCTTAGAGATTCACAATTGAAGCCCATTGAATACCTCGATGATAGACAATTGGATTTTGTTGATTATAACGCACTTAAATTATACGAGGTAAGTTAATTTAACCTATCAACTTAATTTCACATCTATTTCGATTCAATTGCCATTTTATGCTTCATTATGATTGTGATTAATAAATGTTTAGCCTATTATTTGACTTTAACAGCCAAATTTTTGTAAACAAAAGTGAAAACATTTCAATCGTTTATCATGTTTTCCATGGTTAATTATTTAATGTAGTGATTATTTGTTCTCAACAATTGAAGGATTAAACGTTTAATCGCTAACTCGATGAAAACTTCGGTTCGCCCGATCAGTACGAAGTGGTTATGTTGAAACTTGAACGGAATATTTTACGATTTTGTTTTATCGTTTCCATTGAGAAGTTGAAATTTCAACTCTGTAAACATATCTATTACTTGAATATAAACAGTTTCAGATTTTATGTTTGTGTTGATGTCTTGAAGACTTTATATTTCAGCATTTTTAATTGAAAAAATATCAAACCAGTCAATCGTTATGGTGAGGTTGATGCATGATGTATGGGAAGCTATTGAAATTTTACTGTTCAGATGGCCAGTATTCACCACCTACATAAGAATTGAAGTTGTAACTGAATTTGATTTGTATCAAACGTGATTGATACTCTGTGTTTATACAGATTAGCAAGATTGTAGAGCTTCCGATTCTTGATTCAGAATAATTGAATAGAATGATAACATTTAGGTTTGATGATTCGATGAGTATTAGTACAATTTTGAGACTCAGTTTCACAAATAATATTGATTAAAGATCAATCACATTCAGTCTGTCCACCTGATGCAAGGCTCAACTCCAATTCCTAAATTTTTAGCTATAAATTATAAGCAGAGATCAGGATAAATCATTTTTGGATCAACCAAAAGATTTGGTTCCAATGTTTTTGCTCAAAATTGACAGAACCAGAAATCCATAGTTTCTTTAGCTTCAAAACCAAGAATAAACATCTCAATTTTTACATGAAATTCAAGCCGAAAATCATTTAAATCGTCAATTTAATGCCTCGATCTCGAAAAAATGAAAAAATTGATTTTGAAGACAAAATCAATTGAAAAATAATGATTGTTCATCAAAGCAATTGATTTTGTGTGTGCAACTTCAACACGAAATGAGCAAAAACCATTTATGTTAATGATTCCTTTCATCTTTAAGCATTTCAATTTGATTAGTGAAACAATCATTGATTAACTTACTATTTGATTAACCGCAAAATTATCATTAATTTATCTAATTTTCATGATATTAATAATACAATTTTCTGTTCATGTTTTGGTTACAATTTTCATCTTGAAAATTAGTCGATACCAGTGAAGGCTTTTTTTATATTGTTCAGTACAAGTTGAAATATTGAACAAGAAAACTTGAGATGAAAGTGATAATATTGATGATACTGACGATAATAATGATGAAGAAGATGATTGAAATGTTTCATCGCCATGAACTCAATATAAACAGCAAATTCTAATTTCCTTTTATTATTATTTTCATTGATATTGGTTTTTCTTCTTTTTTCATCTTCTTTCATCTTCTTCTTCCCATTGAACCATTATGCTTTTATCATTTTCCTGTTTATTTCACCATTTCATGAACCATCATCTTCCTCTTTATATCCATGTTCATCACAATTTCAATTGAATCCTGGCTAAAAGTGTATCAATGAAAATAGATGACAAATTTTCATCACTCAAACTCTCATTCATCATTCATTATTAAACACCATTGAAACTTAATTACAATTATCTCTTTTAATCAAACAAACAATTCCAATCGATGAAAATAAAAACATTTTCATCTGAAAAACAAATTCTCAAATTAAACGATTAAACCTTAACAATTGGTTAAATCCAATAAATCATCATCAATTTAATATCAGTAAATGATGAACAAACTGAACTTCAACTTGAACCTATTTAAAAGGAAGGTTGAAATTCAAAAACACAATACAAGTTACACCCAATCTGCATGTAAACCATTTTCAAATATCATGATGGAACAAAATTCAGAACAATTCTGTATTTTTCTGATATCATTATATGAAAACATGAAGCGTAGGTTTTCATGTTTCTCATTAAATGCCAACCAAAGGATAATAGTAATGATATATTTAGATTAAAAACTGAAAACCTTTTTCATTCATTTTCATCTAACTTCAGGTTGACAATCACATGATAAAATGTCCTTAACCTTGCGAACGGAATGAGCTTTAAAAGTCTTAAAGCAATCAAATTAATCAATGATTTACGCTAAATCAATGATATATTTTTGCTTTATTTTCATTGTCTTTCAATTGTTTTCCTCTAATCCTATCCTCACCTTGTAATACCCTGAATGGTTCAAGATTAATTTTGATCATTTGGAGCAGACTGAATTGCTAATGACAATTTACAATATTTCCTTCATTTATCTGTTAACTCAACTCACCTGATTGAGGCTCATTTTTATCCAATATTAATGGTTCTTATAATGATAATAAATGAATCCTTATCAAACCTGAAAATGCGATTTGTTTTTACGGGCAAAATAAAAACCATTGAAATCGCATTGTAATCACAATGAGTATTGAATCAAATGATTAGTGATTTTGTTTGGTAAAATAGAGTTGGAAGAATCTTAAATCCAGAAAATTGAATTACATGGTAAATTCAGTGTTACTCCAGAGTTTTATTTCCATCATAACTCGAGTTTGTTGTTGAATTTTTTACTTTATTTTTGCATTAATAATGACAATAAAAATGTTCAATTGTTAAATGAACACATTTCTCAACACTTGAACATTTTATCCTTTTTCTTTTAATCATATTCTCTTTTCATCACCTTGAACCTGTGAATCGATTTTCCCTTTCAGGTAAAAATATGTTGAAATGTTGTTCAATTTTTTCCCAGTGATTAACATAATGATCCTTTTCAACTTTTCAATTTTTTTGCTTCTTCTAAATATTTTGTTAATCAGTTGATCAGGTAGAGTGACAATTATAATGAAGTTGCCTTCATCTATTGAACAGCTATTTTTTGAGCCTTTAAAAGCTGCTTCTTTTCAAAAATTGTAAATCTTTCACTTTCAATTGATTATCCTTATACTTATACAATATTCATTGTGTTTACTCAATTATTATTCAATCTTTAACCTTTTAAATGATTCAAAGTATGATTTTACGCCTGAAAATGTTCAACTTGTTCCCCACCTTTTGTTATCATCTATTAAATTATGCATTAGGTTAATCACCCATAGCTAGTTAATTATCATCAATAATTATCTTCTCAATCTTATCATTGAAAAAGGTAAATTATTGATTCCATTAGCGGCAGAGTAACAATTGTAATCTTAAACATATTTTCATCTAAATAAATATTCACCCAAATCAGTAAATTACCAATTTTGATTACTTATCACTGATAAAAATCAATCTCAGATAAAAAAATAACCAATGATAAAAATCCAAAGACCAAAAATTTAGGTTAATCTGGTTTGCACCAGAAAAATAGATCTAAATGTTACAGTCAGATGGCGCTGAGATATTTACAACCCAAACCCAAACTTTCCTAGTTATTTGACTCTCTCGACATTTTTCATCCTCTCTCATCATTTATCATCATTACTCCTTCTCTCATTTATCTTCCTTTCTCTCTTTGTTACATTAAGATGAGAAAAAATTTGAATGGCTCACTGGATTCATGGGTGAATGGATGATGCACATTTTTTTCATCCCAAACATAGTCAACATTGTCTGTCTACCTTTTTTGTGTCTTTCTTTTCTCCTTTTCTTCAACTCTCTCTCTCTCTATTTTTCCCTGATCATCATCATCTTCATTCCAGACAATGAACTTACAAAGATTGTAAACAACATTTTTGCTTCTTTTCAGCTTTACTTTGAAAATTGTATTTTTTAAAGGCTGGTTAACAAATGAGTTTTTCCAGTTCAATTTTTGAAAACACAACATCATTTGTTTTTGTTTTTCTTCACTTACTCCTTTCATTATCATGATAATCTAACTCTTCTTTCTCTTTCTCTATCTCTTCCTGATTCACCTATTTTTCACCTTGCAATTTATCCTCAAGGTCAGCTTGAATAAACAATACAATCTATTCATGATAATCATTATTTTTAGTCTTTCACAGTGAAAAAAGGTTTACCATTACAAAGTGAATTATGTATGATGATTTTACTCATTTTTTTCTTGCACCAAGATAATGATGAAGAAAAAAGTAAATATATTATGAAAAGAAGCAAAGAAACAACTGAAATGAGTTATCATCTGAACAAATATTCATCTTCTTCTACCTTTCGTGTTCATGCTTCATGAATGGTTATTGTCTTAACTCTTTTCAAATGTTCACAATAACCTAACCTTGTGATATCATCATAATCATCATAAATAATCATCATTAGCATCATTAGCTTCCTCGAGCAATGACTTTCAATCAATCCTTGTAAAATCAACATTAAAAACTTGATTTTTATTTACATTATTCAAATGCAAACTCAATTGTAACTACAATTTGATCAATTGAAGTTAATTGTGTTCAATTGAACAATGTCAATTTACAATTGAAATACAAATAATGGTTAATTGTCAAACCTTGAATTGGTAATCCATTTAGGCAAAGTTAATTAAATAACTGTTGATAAATTTTCCAATTACAAGTTTAACATGTGAATTGCATAAATGAGTATCATTATCAGGTTGATGGATTTAATGATTATTTTATTATAATAACTTAATGGTTTGCACCAGAAAAAAATGATTAATGTAAAGATGAAACATCACCTTTCTCAACACCATCAGTTGACATTAACCAAGGACGTTGAAATGTATCCTAATTACAATTAGATATTAATAGCAACAATCGACACTCATTGAGACTATTAACCTTTTTTTCATTGCATTTTCATGGCAACCTGCCAATAAAAGTGTAAACAGTTTAAATTGAGTTAACCATTTTGTTTGCAATTTAAATCGTCAACATTTTATACTCTTGATATCAATAAACTCGTGAAAATTGCAAGGGAAAA